GCCGAGGCGGGGACTGACCTTGGCCGGCTGCACAGCCAGGCTCTGCAGACCCCAAACGGCTTCTCCTTCTGAGGAGACCCTGGTTAGCAGGAAGCCGTCCCAGTGTCATAGGGCCTGCACTGGCTGCAGTGGAAACTCGGCTGGGTCACAGGGAGGGAGGGACGGGTCCTTTCCGAGCCCCAGCCCCCCAGGGCTTCATCCTGGGTCAGGAGTGGGTGCCAGTCAGCTGATTTCTCAGTAGCATCAGGCTCCGTGCCAAACATCACTGCCACCTGATTCCGTGAGGGGCCTGGACTCTGTGGCCATTCCTTGGCTTGAGGCTCTGAAGGTGTCTATGAAGTCATACAGTCTCCTGGCAAGAGCTCTCCTCACCTGAGTCTCGCGCCATCCTGCCAACGTCCCACGGTCACTGTGTCCAAGGCTCCGTCGGGGGGCCCTGCCAGGTCACCCGGCCTGAAGACGAAGCCTGGCCCAAGTCAGTGTCCCCCCAGGGCCAGACTGGAGGCTGTGTCCTACCGCAGCTAAGACTGCTCCTGAAGGGCCTGCCTGCCTGGTGGTGGCCCAACTGTGTGACCTGGCTGCCCGGCGGCTGCGCCCCTCCCCCTCCCCCTGCTGGCCTCCGTGTCCAGGGTCTCACTGCTGTGACTTCTCCAATGACAAGGCCATCCTGGGACTCGCCCTGCGGGCTCCTGCCCACCCACTAGGACACAGTCTTCCGCCCCCAGCCCTGACTCCCATGTAAGCCTGAAGCTGGTTTGTCCCCAAGGAGCCACAGCCCTTCCCACGTCTTCCTTCAGGAGCTGGGCCTAGCGCAGACCGCCCCAAGCAGAAGAACTGATGCCTGTAGAAATCGTGGTCTCCCCATGGGACAGGCTGCTTCCTCTTCCACGCACGCTATTGCTTGCTTTAATTCAGACCTCTGTAATGTCCCTCTGTCCCTCGACGTCTTTATAGAAAAAAGTTGTGTGTGCTTTGTGACAGTTGGTACCAAAGAGTGTTGTTTGAGGTGTGGCCTGAATTCTGTCCTTCAAGAATGTCGGGCAGACCAAGACAGAGAAGAGCTGTGTCCCGGAGTCTCCCAGAAGGAATCGGGGTGCCCTGCCGGTGGCCCCCACTCACCAGCGCTGTGTCCTCACTGTCAGACCTCTCTAGAGAGGACCCCGCTCACCCTCTCTGAAGAAGGCCCCGCCCAGGCGTTGTGGCCCCCTGAGGTTTCCTTGGTGGCACTCACCACAGTGTGACATTGTGTGTTTGTTTGTTTCTTGCAGACAGGGCCTCCCCCACCAGACCACAGGCTACAAAAGGCCGGAGTTCCATCTGGTTCGTAAAATCGTATCCTTGACTCCTAACCCAATGCCCAGCTCAAAATGAACGTTCAAGATGGGAGACTATTAGGGTGGAGAAAGGGGCGGTGAGGAAGGACGGGGGGCATCAGGGGTGGAAGGGTCCAAATCATGTTTTGTGCCTGTTCAGACATGCCAAAGGAAACCCACATTTTGTAGAATGCTATACACCAACAAAAAATAGTGTTTCAATAAATACTTGTTGAGTGAAAGTTTTCCTCTTCCACTTGGAAGAAGAGTGAGAACCTCTAGACCCCCCCAGTGCTGACGACCGCTAGGTGACCAGCACTAGGAGGACCACTGACCCTGTTCCGTTTACACGTCTGTCATTTGAATTCTATGTGCTGTCAAGGGCCTGCACGTGGGCTGGCTTCAGGGCCTCCCGGGGCCTCCCGGGCCTCCCGGGGACGGGGAGGTGGGCGGCTATTCTCGGTGGCCCTCTCCAGCCTCACTGATTTCTTGATCTGCACGTCGTGGAAGCAATCCTCCAAACACCTGCAAGGCCCTGTCTCTCTGCTGTCAAAAGTTTGCTGTTAAGAAAACAATCTGAGACTCAGGTACACTGTGATTTTCCATAGGAGCACTATTAGCATCTAACTACTGAAACCCTTTAGCCACTGCAATGAGACACCAGTCAGTGGAGAGATTCTGGCCTTATCTGGCACCAGGGGAAGGGAATTCAGGAAGGGGGCCTGAAGGAGCCTAAAACTCAGTGTGTTCACTGTATTATCCACCAACTATGCTCTTAGTGAAGGAGCTTCGGCTGCAGAGAGAAAATAAGTGCAGAAATTCAGGAGGTCGCAATCTTACTAAAAAATGAGTCCCGGGCTGGGGCTGGGGCTGAGTGGCAGGTGTGAGGCTCTGGGTTCAATCCTCGGCACCACATAAAAATAAACAAATAAAATAAAGACATTCTGTCCATCTACAACTACAAAAAAAAAAAAGACAGAGGAGTCAGTCCGCTGGGCCTTTGCACTCAGAGCATGATATGAACTATTGCACGTTGTAGCTGTGTTTATGGAACCACGAGACGTGCTACTTTTCTCCAGGGAAAAAACAAATGAGTCCCAGGTCATTCTTCCGGCTGGACTCCTCAGACCCTGTGGGCGAGGCGCCGTAACCTGGCACAGGTGCACGCCCACATCTCGACACAGGTGCCCTAAGATGTGTTCAGCGACCTCTCTGCAAGGTCTCTCCAGAGCAGCTGACCAACAGGATCCGTGTGGACGCTCGCGCTCCTTCTCACTAACCTCGTCTCACTCTTTTGGAAATGACACCTGTTTGTTGGTGAAGGGCGAGATGTGCCTCCACGCGTGTTTGGACAGGGATCATTTCTGCTCTTCCTGCCGCAGGGCCAGTGGGAAGCTGCTCCAGTCTTGGAAAACCTCAGTTTCCATGTCCGGTAGAGCGGGGTGCTGAGACCTCTTCCAGAGTGGCCCTCGGGTCCCTTCTCCAGAGCTGTAGCCGCTCATCAGGTCCGAGCCAGGTCTCTCCCCACCTCTGTTTTCCCTCATCATATCACTTTCTGGAGCCTTATGGGTCTTGGAATTGATCATAAATTGTATTTGATTCTATTGTGGTTGCTTCCTTTGTGGAGTGACTTTGATCACTTCAGGTAGGTCAGATTGAGAGCTCCCAAGGGGGAGTTCTGGGATCAGTCCTAACGTCCCAGGTTTTCAAATACTCCTCTAAATGGGAAGAAAAGCAATCAGGGTAATGATGGTGACGATTCCCATCTAACAACAGACTATTCACACACACACACACACACACACACACACAACTATGCCCCAAGCACTCGGCCAGACTGTCTCTCATTTAACAGTCCGAGGCCCGATTTACAGATGACAGAACAAAGTCTCAGATATTAAGGGGCTTGCCACTTGCAAGTCAGCAGCTGGGATTGGAGCCCTCACACATGGGACCCCAAAGCTCCCCTTCCCCACCCAGTCAACTCCCACCTCATCCTTCTCTTGGAGTCACAATGTAGAAGGGACACAAAAGATAGACGTAAGACAGAGTTTATTAAGAAAAATGACTCACATCACTTCTCTTTTTCTTCCTGTAAAACCTCACCATCAAGGAGTGATCTCACAGAATCTCTGGTTCAAGAACATGCATCTCGCTCACACACACACACACACACACATGCACACATGCATTTTCAAAGGTAATAATGTCACTATCCAATTCTGGGCGCCCTTTATCTGCATTCTAAATGGAGGCACCGTGATGGATTCATCTGGAGACACCAGACAGCGTCAGGGGGCACAGCCTCTGCACCCCTCACTTGGCAGTCTCCTTGGGGGCACCAGAGACAGGTTGGAGTCTGTGCCCCTTAAATAAGGGCCTTCCCAAACGGAACTAAACAACCTGGAGATTCCCTCCCTCTGACCCTCCCACACCCGGGGAGACCTTGGGTCTCACGGTGCCACCGCCCTCCTCTGGGCACTCAAGTGGCAGTCAGCAGAAGGGATCGGAGGGAGATGATCTCCAGGGGCTTCTCTCCTTTCTCATTCTCATCTTCACAGCAGAACTACTTTTTCCCAAGAGGAATCTAGGCAGCACAATTCTGTCTCTGTTTTCATAAGTCCTCGGGAAACTCCGCTGACCTCAGTGCTGGTGATCTGGGCAGGATCTGAGAGACAAGGGCTCTTGGGGTTTCCTGCCCATAAGATCTTTTTAGGCTGGGAGGGGGTGGTTTCCCCGGTTTGAACCCAGTGGCACTTAACCACTGAGCCACACCCCCAGCCTTCTTTGGGTTGTATTTAGAGACAGGGTCTTGCTGAGTTGCTGAAGCTGGCTTTGAACTCACCATCCTCCTGTCTCAGCCTCCCGAGCCTCTAGAATCACAGGCTTGGCCACTGTGCCCGGCCACCCCTGTTGATAAGATCTTTGGAGGAACGCTGGACAAACAGCCCAGGGAGGATCGGGAGGAGGGGCGAGAATGGTCTCTGTCACTGAGTTGAGCTGTGAAGGAGCCCCAGGAGGACGGGTAGTGGCAGGAATCCCAGTGGCGTTTGCGTGCACAGAGACTCCCCATGAGAGCAGGTGTCCTGTGGACTGGGTGCGCTCTGGCGAAAGACAGGGACGTCCCCAACATGGGCCATCTGCCAGAGGTACAGACCAGAGCACCTCTCAAGTTGAGACTGATGGTCAAGTTCTGGGGATCCCTTTAAAGACTGAGTAGAGGAGGAGCACGGGGCAGGCAGGGCCCCTCACCGGCCCCAGGACACGGCCATGGGGACAAGATCCAGAGCAGGCATGATGCAAGTCCTCTCTGGGCTGGGAACTCTGAACTCGTCCGTGGGCGGGTCAGGGCTGGGTCGGGTTCTTTGGGGATGGAGCAGGAGGCCGTAATGGGGTGTTTCTGGCATTCCACTCCTGGGCTACCCTTCCCTTCCTCTGGCTTAGGCGAGAAGTAACCGAGAGATGGCCCGGAGGACACCGGGTGGAGGTGGGGAGGCAGCGCCTGGGGAGCCCCGTCTCCTCACTCTCAGAGCTCCGGGTACCCCTTCAGCAGCGCCCACCGGGGGGACGCAGGGCCCACAGGAGCAGAGGAGTGATGAGGATGGGGACCCGGGGAGGAAGAGACCCCTTTCCCCCCCCCCGGGCCTCTTTCTCCCCGCCTACCCCTGGTCCTCCCATGATTGAGGGTCACACGGATAGGTCATCTGACCTGGCCTTGCTGCTGGCCTTGCTGAGACGGCGCTTGTCACTGTGATAGCTGTGGGGGAGGCGGTGACCTGCGGAGACTCCGTTGAGCACCTCGGGCTTCTGGCCATACCGGATCTGGATGAAACCCTCCCTGGGATCTTGCTGCTGGCCTGGCACTGGGTCCGCGGCCAGGCTGTCCGGGTTCTGCGGGGGGACCATGCTGTCACCGAAGGGACGGAAGAACTTTGCCCCAGGGCCGTCCTCCAGGCACTGACTGAAGTCGGGCGGAGGCGTGCAGCTCTGGGCCGTGGCCCCGGCGGGACCCGGGAGCCGGCGCTCAGGCAGGCGCTGCTGAGGCTTGCCCCACTGGTGCCTGATCTTCTTCCAGCCCAGGTGGTAGAGCTCGGCCAGGCTGAGGAAGAGGGACAGCGCGGCCACGGCCAGCATGAAGACGATGAAGACGTTCTTCTCCGTGGGCCTGGACACGTAGCAGTTGACGGGGTGCGGGCAGGGGCTCCGGCGGCACACGTGCAGGGTGCTCAGGAAGATCCCGTAGAGGAGGTACTGGCCCACGATGAAGGCCACCTCCACGCTGGTGCGGATCAGGATGGTGCAGACGTAGGTGTTGAGCAGGGTGCCCTGGAGGACCACCCGCCCGTTCATTTCGTCCCAGCAGGACAGCTCCGCCTTCTCGGCCGCTGGGTACTCGTAGGAGCCAGCCCCGCGGTGGCCCTCTCTGGCCCCCTCGGCCTCCCGGAGCTTCCGCTTCTCCTCCATGCGCACGTGGTGCATGGCGTGGCCCATGTACACCAGCGACGGCGTGGACACGAAGATGATCTGCAGCACCCAGTAGCGGATGTGCGAGATGGGGAAGGCCTGGTCGTAGCACACGTTCTCGCAGCCCGGCTGAATCGTGTCGCACTGGAAGTCGGCCTGCTCGTCCCCCCAGGAGGACTCGGCCGCGGTGCCCAGCACCAGCATGCGGAAGATGAAGAGCACCGTGAGCCAGACCTTGCCGATGACCGTCGAGTGCTTGTGGACCTCCTCCAGGAACTCCCCTAGGAAGCTCCAGTCGCCCATGCTGGAGGGGAGGGGACGGTGCCGGGGCTTCTGCAAACAGAGGGGGGGGGGAGAGAGAGAGAGAGAGAGAGAGAGGTGTTTCTGCAAAGGTCTGCAAGGTCCGTCATGTTCTGGACCTTGATCCGTACCAAAGAGCCCAACATAGAAGTCAAGTGTACTCTACCCCCAGCCCCCAGCAAAAATGAAGAGAGGGGATTTGGCTTCCACACTTGGAAGGATCTAGCGATGAACTCAGGTGTGAGTTACAGTTGGAACCTGTGCTCAGACTCCCAGAGATTCTACCCCAGGAGTCTGATGGCCCCAGAACCTGAATTTGCCACAAGCGGCCCAGGTGATTCTGGTGCAGACAGTCCACAGACCACACCCAGACAAACACTGGAGAAAGAAACACAGAACTGGAGTTCTCAGGTACCGCGACTCACATTGACTTCCCGGAATCCGCTTCCTTGTCTGTCGGATGGGGATGGAAATAAGTGCACTGGAGGATCTGGAGGATCAAGGAAGATGAAGTGTCTGATGTGCTGAGAACTACAGGGTAAGCATCCGTGGGTCTGGATGATTGACAGAAAAGGAACCTTTCAGGGTTCCGGAGGCCTAGGTGGGAGAGAAGGAAGAAGGTCGGCTGTGGCAGCTTTGGCCTCTGGGGAAGCACTCTGTGATGACAGACCATCCAGGGGACAGCCGTGTTGAGAGGGAGGAACAGCATGTCTCAACGGTGTTAGGGAGGAGCGCTCAGCTTCCGCGGCTGCTGGCCGCCTTCCTCTGCCTTCCCGGAGCAGCGCAGCCGGTCCCCCTGGGGGACTTGCTGAGGTCTGGGCTCCCTTTGTCCCGCAGGCCCAGTCCTGGTGGACAGACTCAGCAACGCTCTCCTTTCAGCTGTGACTTCCCGGGCCCTGTCCTCTAGCTGATGACACTTACCTTCGAGGCGTTTTGGAAACAGAGACTTTCCTCTGTCTCACCAGAGCGTGGCCCAGAGCCGACGTGCAGGAAGCCTGGCTGAGTGAAGGAAAGAGCTATGCGCCTCCATGTCCCTAACTAGTAGGACGCTAACTAGGACGGACGCTCCTGGTCCTCGCCGCGTCCCATTAGAGGAGGCAAACCCAGACGCGCTCCCGCAGGACGAGGGCGCCCAGTGGGGACAGAGGGCTCAGGACGGCTTCTCTGTCCCCCGTGAGCGAGGCGCCTCGCCACCGTTCTTTCCTTCTCCTCTGCTTCCTGCCCATGGACAGGGCTGTGTGGGCCAAAGGTCTGAAGTGCCCACAGAGTTCCAGAAATGCTGGCCAACGCCCGGAGGCGCACATCAGAGTCGCACAGGACCTTGGGTGGCCAAGGTCACATTTTGACCTTCGTGTCTTGATGCCAACTCTGGTTCCTTTTGGAACATGCTTGATGCTGGGGGAAGGCAGGGTGGGGTGCTGCCTCTCACGTCTCACATTCACTGACTCCTGAGGTGAGGCCTCGCCAGAGACCAGTCTCCGGGTTCTGACTCCTCCCAGCCCCAGGTCCCCAACCCTGAGAGCATGTGGGGTCCCTGAGAATGACAGAGTCCCTGAGTGGGAAGGGTCTTACCCTGGTCCCTCTCCGTATCAAAGACTCACCCAGGGCTGGAGGCCTGCCTCTGGCTGGTGACTAAACATCTGCCCTTTACTCCAGGTGGAGAAGGGCCTGCCCTGGGCCTCCAAACCTGGAAAACGTGGAGGATTTGCTCAAAAGGAAAACGGCTGATAAGACAAGCGTCTGAATGGTCTGTCATCCCTCCTGGGCACGCGGACGCGTTCAGCACCTTCGGGCTCAGCCCCGGACGGGCAGTGACTGGCATATGGTGCGAGAGAGCAAGGAAGGAAGGAGGCAGAGGGAAAGAATCGAAGGAGAGCAGAGGATCAGAAACGGGGAATGATGGGGAGTTCCCAACGGAGGAAAAGAAACCTGACAGTGGTTACAGGAAGACAGGCACGGAAATCGGATGACTGAGTTCAGATCCCGGCGGCTGTGTGCTGAGCTCGGCTGAGTGTGCAGTCTGTGTTTCCTCGTCCGCCAGGTGGACAGCACTCGGACGGAGCCCATAGGGTCGGTGGACGGTGAACAGAAAGCCCAGCATGGAACAGGGCTCGGCCCTCACTGACAAGTAGAGAAGTCGGGAAGAAGGAGAGAGCGGGCGCAAGGTGAGAAGAGAGCCTCACCAAGGAGAAGAGAGGGATGGAGGGAAGAGCAGGCTCGGGGTGAGAGGAAACGGGACGGAGCTCAGAAGGGAATCCACAGAAGCACACGCTCTCTTCTTCCGGGATTTGGGACATGTTTTCAGTCCCTGATGACATCTCCCTGATGGTCTCTGTCACTCATTTCTTGCAAGTCCCCAAGAAAGCATAAAAATGGTTCCAGACAAAGAACGTGACCCTTCGGTCCCGTCTGCCAAAAGGCTGGTCCGCTGACTGCCTTACTCGTGGGCAAGGAATCCACCCGGAGAGAGTGCAGCACCTTGAGAAGGGAGCACCTTGGAAAATTGGGAAGGGCCTCAGGAAAGACGTCTCCGAGGGAGAGAGCAACGGAATTCAGCCGAGCAGGCACAGCAGCCAGGCAGGCCCAGCCCTGCCGAGGAAAGAGGAGCAGGCCTTCCACTCATGACTCCTGCCGACCTTCAGAAACCACCAGCCGCTCAGCTCGTGATGTGAGAGTGTCCCGCGGAGCCAGGTTCCAGGGACATCGGCTCCCCTTTGGCCCTCATGGCCCCAGCCCAAGAAACCTGTGACCAGCAACTGGTGAGCTCACGGGACACTGCGCCAAAAGGCTCTCAGCAGGAAGTTCCCAGGCCCAGAGCAGAGTCTGTCCATTCCTGGGATTCCCTCCACCGCTTTGCCTCAGTCGTCCCTGGCTTCCAGCCGTTCTTAAGCCTCCAACTGGAGCCTGCCAGGGAGACGCTCTGACTCGGCCTCACCCTGTCTTGTCACCGGCCCCTCACCCGCTCAGCACTGAGCTCTGCGATTCCCCAGGCACACAGGCAGACAACTGGCCTCCGTCTTGCCTGGCCCCTCTGTACCCCCGCCTGGAACGCTCTCTTCCACTGCAGGGACGGACGGCTGCAAGGTGCCAGGCCTCGGCCAGCCACCGAGGACCCAGCAAGGAGGAAAGGCAGACAGGGCTCTCTGTCTGTACTGCGTGCGTCCTTCCTGACTTGTTTTTCCTTCTGATACTGGGGATTGAACCCAGGGTGCTCCACCACGAGCGATATCCTGACCCTTTTTAAAAAATCATTTTAGATTTTGGTACTTGCAATCCCCCTGCCTCGGCCTCCTGATTTTCTGGGGTTACAGGTGTGCGCCACAATGCCCGGCTAATTTAACTGACTTTACTTTCCATAAAGGGAGAAATGAAAACAGAATTTCAATAAAACATGGTGTGTTCGAGTTAAGGAAGGGCCAGGTGCTCTGGGAGCGTGTGGCCGGAGTGGAATCTGGTTCACTGGGTCTGGAGAAGACTTGGTGAAACTAGCCCTCTGCAACTGATGCTGGTGCTGAGATTCTCATGCCAAAGAAACGGCCCCTAGTCCCTGGAAGGAAAGGTCTCTACCACAAAGTTCTTCATCACCAAGGTTCAACATCTTCTTTCAAATCCTCTCAGGGTGTCATATCTGGGACAAGGCAGTTCTGCAGGGCTGACTAAGGAAGCCGTTTGGTCAGAGTAACATGGTGCTTTGGGCAGGAGGGAAAGAGTCAGAGGAAGGATTTTATGGGTTGTGAACCTGAATCATTTCGGGCCTTGACTTCCTGATATATGGCTACAAATAAAACTGAGGAATCTACATTCCGAATCTAGTGTTCTCCTGATGCCCACGTCATCACACTCCTACACCTCTGACGTTTTCAAAGAAAGCCATTTTGTAAGGACCCAGCTGAGTCATACCTTGATATTCAGGACTCCTTCCTCTGACGGCTGTAGGATGGGATGAGAGGTCTTCTAAACAGACCCCAGATCTCCTCCTGTCTCCTGGACTCTCAAACACTGCCGGTCACCATTCAGCACGTGGATGCACTCTCACACCTGGTCACATGCTGCCTCGGACTTGTTCTCCAGGACTTTCTTGCCATCAGCCACCCCACAAGTACCTTTCTGAGTTCCTAGTACGTGCCCTCGACTGTTCTGAGTACTCAGAAAAAACCTAGGGGGTGCCAGTTCCAACAACACTAGGCACTCAGCGATGTCTCTTGAATTCATAAAACCAGGCATGATCCTTCCCTCGAGGATACAACAGCTTTCCCTCCAATGAGTGGCACACCTCCCCAGGTCAAAGCCCTGCCTTCTACTTTGTACCCTCATGGCATTAGGTTCCCCTATTAGATATGGAACAGGCCCGAGATTGAAGAGGTTTAGCCCTAAGATTGCAAAGTGGTTCTAAGGAGATTCAGATCTTCCTTCCCAAGTCCAACAAGACAACAAGGAAAACTCCCATGTCCAGAATGTGCTTCTCTAACACTTTCTTGTGGGCTCAGAGAAGGAAGGACCATGATCGCTCTGTTCAGGACTGAACACCCTCAGAGTGTCGGGGCTCAGACCAGAGGGGTTCCCCAAAGGGTCGTGTGGGAGACCCGCAAGAAGCTCAGAAGTGACGCGACCGGGTGGTGAGAGCCGTGACCCAATCAGCGTCAGCCCTGAGAGTCGGGTGGTGACTGCAGGGTCTGGGCGGAGGAGTGGGTCCCCGGGGCTGTGCCTGTGGGGAGGAGTCTCCCTCCGTCTCTGCTTCCTGGTGCCTGTCCTGAGCCACTTCCCTCCACCACACTCCGCCATGAAGTTCTGCTTCACTGAGGCCCAGAGCAATGGGCCAGCCGCCTACGGACTTGGCCTCTGAAACCCGGAGACCCCCAAATAGCCTTTCCCCTCTGATTGCTCTTGTCGGGTCTTTTGGTCGCAGCAGCAAAAAGCTGACTGAAACACAGACATTCACTTTTTATATGAATGGACGGATCCTCATGACCAGTCTGGCACGTGTCAGCGAGCGCCCCGTCTCC